CAAACATGGCCTTAGCAAACATGATATAAAAAAGAGTACATGTGTATATGCATACATATACCATTATATCATCTAAAAAACAATATATACATGCATATACGGAAGAACAAAGTAACATACTCTTTCTTGTGCAGTGTACACGCACACACCGCCTCTCAATCTATGGGGGTACGTAATTTACAATAGAAAGCACATATGCCTTCTTACACATGCAGATGCAGTGATCTCTTAATAGTAATAAGTAGTAATAATCTACATTAAATATGAAGGGGGATATAGCTAGATGTATATAGTTCACACATGGTGCATGGTGCTCCTGGTGCACACATACTGACATACATATTACAGGGCATGGACAGTGATCCGGCCTACGTGAACGTAAATTGATATCTAGTGTTGTTCCATCTTGTCTTGGCCCTCTCTCGATCGGTCGATCGATGCTGGTGCCGGGGCTGCGGCCTCTCCATCGCACGTAGGCTTCTTATATATGTACACATGGCCTTGCACGGGCACGAGCATCGATCGTCGATCGGCTGATGAAGCATCCACGGGCGTGGGTGTCGATCTGCTAGGCGCCGGCCGGCACACGGCGCGGCGCGGGTCTAGACGCGGATGAGAGGTGCCGGCGGCGGGGGAGCGTGGAGGCGACGCTGCAGCAGCAGCTGGCGCTGCTCGGATTACTGCCGCTGCAGGCGCAGGTGCTCGCGCTGCCGCCGGATGAAGCTCTCCGCGCGCTGGAGCAGCTCATCCGGCGAGATGCTGACCAGCACGTCCCGGGTGCGCCACCCCGTCTGCCTGACCGCCGCCGACGGTTCCGGCGGTGGCTGCGTCGTCGGGGCCGCCGCCGCCGCCGCCTTGGCGACCGCCGAGACGGACTTGCGCACCTGCCTCCGCGCCGCGGCCGTCTCGGCGATGCGCTGCAGCCGGGGCATCTCCTCGTTGCCCCACGACTCGCTCTTCCGCACCACCACCGGACGCGCCGCGCGCCGCTGCACGATCGACGCCCACAGCGAGTCTATCGAGACGTCTTCGTCGTCGTCGACGGATACAGCAGGCGCCGTCTCCTCCAGGGCCTGGCCATGTCTCTCGTCGTGGGCCGGCTCATCACGTGCATCAGCCACGACGGCCCACGGCGGGGTCGTCGGCGCGTCCTGGACGGCCGGTTTCTTGCGCACGCGGGGGCGGTCGCTTCTCCTGGCCGCAGCTCTCGCCTCCCGGGTCAGCCTCTTGGACGACACCGGTGCGTCGTCCGCACGGCGGCCGCCGATGGGCGCCGCGTCGGAGAAAGCATCGTACTCCGACGAAGACGCGTAGAAGCTGTTTTCTACGGCGCCCGGTACAACCTCGCCGTCGTGTGCGGCCGAGGACGGGGCGGCGGTGTCGTCGTTGGCCGCCCTGCCACGGCGGCGGGAGGAGGAGACGAGCCAGACTATGATGACGTTGGCTGCCACCCACAGGAAGATGGGCGACAAGAGGAAGCCGGGGCTGGCAGGCGTCGGGATGTAGTAGGAGCCGGCTGCTTCCGCCGTGGCCGCTAGGATGGCGACAGCGGCCATGGTAGCAACCGCCGTGGCCTTGAGGAAGGAGCTCATCATCATGGCAAATGGAGGGAGTGGTTGTGCAGCTTGGTGTGGTGGTGTGTGTGAAGGGCAAGCAACCACGGTCGAGCGGTTTATATAGTGCCGGGCCGCCGGGGGCTGGACGGCTGGAGTGAGAAATCGGCTTCTGGTTGCAGTCGTTTAGAGGCCTTTGGCAGGGATTCTCAACCAGCTCCTCGAGCTGTTTTTATTAGCTCTCACGGTCAAACGGGTATAGAGGCAGGTGCTCTGACGAAGGAGCCCCACATATTGCGCTCTCTGGTGCGAGATCGGTCGATGGGAGCCAAAAAATCGAGCTTCATCCGGCTCCGTGCTCAGATCGTGGGGCCCTGGGCGAATTTGCCCCCGGCGTGGGCGCCGACGCTCATGGCGAAGACGGGCGTGGCTAGGACCGGACGGCGGCGCGGCGCGTGGAGGACCGGACAGCCGGAGTCTACGGCGCGGCGCTGTGGGCGGATGAGCGCGGGCAGGTGCGGGACAGAGGGCGCGCGGAGGAGGAGCTAGCATGGGGGAGGGCGGCGCGGCGCCGGTGGCCCATGTCTGGGCGTACTCCCATGCGCCGGCGGCGGCGGGATGAGCGTGCGGTCTCCAGTCGCTCGGTCGTTCCAGAGGTTGAAGACGCGTGCGTACTCGCGTTGCGGGCGTGTGGTTGCAACTGCAAGCGATTGGATAAGGTAGGAAAAGTAAAAAAAAGAAAAGAGAAAAGAGAAGAAGGGATATTATAGACTTTTTACTCCTTTTGCCTTCCGGAGAAGCTGTTTTGCTAAACGGTAAAAAAAAACGGCTTCAGCTCTCTAAGAGAAGTTGCTCCTTTATAAGAGTCGGAACCGGTCGCTTTGTTGGGGGCCATGGAGACCTGGACTGCGCGACGGTCACGAGTGATTACTGATTATGATTAGTAGTAGTTCGTCTCAAAAAAAAAAGATCAGTAGTAGTTGGTAAAGTGCATTTTCTAACCTTGCACCGCAGTCTGATTTTAAATCATAAACGATGAAATTGGGTACCAAATATACTTCGACTATTCAAATCTGTCAAAAAATTGTTTTTAACGGATTTTAAAGCTAGTTTTCTATTTTCTAAAAATAACAAAAATCTATTTTAATATTTAAAATATAAGTAATTTGTTTTAAATTAGAAAATTACGAAACTAGTATTATTTAAAAAAAAATATATTATCTATCTACTTAAAGTTATCTATTTAGAACTCTAATAAGTAGGAACTAAGATAAATAAGTTCCAAATAATTACAAACAGGCCATAGGAGGGTGTTTGCCGGTTTCGTAGTTCAGAATTAAAAATCGGACTGCCGTGTAAGCTGGAAACGTATGTAAAGGAGTTTTTACTCTTAGTTACTGCGCACCAGATAAAGGTGAGGCTACGAGAGCTAGCTCATGTAGACATTTCCATTCCCTGAAATTAAAAACGAGATCACAAGATCAGGCAACAGTCGTCGTTACTCGGAGGACATGAACATGACACGTACGAGTGGAAAGAGATAGGTAGCCACGAAGGATTTTAGTGGCACACCCATACACACACCACTCACACACTCAACACGAGCACGCAAGCAACTTGGAGAGATTCATAAATATGAAATGGTAATTCAATTTCAACCGGCCGGGTTCCCGAGGGTTAGTAAGCTAACCAGTCGGACACTAGACTAGATGGCTGACAGGGAAAACTAATTCCCGACAGTCCTAGCGAGACACGTGGCAAATGGTTATAATAGCCAGCAGTTATACGATTCTCAATCGTGGTACTAGGACACTCGGCTATTTCGGTGATGAGCCATTGCCAATTTTTGTTGGTTGATTATTGTTGGTCCTTGTATCAAATGCCCGATAGTGTAAGATAATGGCCGACAGTATAAAAACCATTGGCTATTCTTACGATTCTAGTAGTAAGTCAAGAGTATATATATATGACCGCACTATGCAAAACCTACCGTGACTGCAAAACCATTGGCAACGCATGAATGGAGCCAAGAAGACCAGAAAAGTCGCCGTCGTGGCGCCTTCGGCCGTTCCGTGCATACTCTCCGGCCGCCTTGCCTGCTTATCCAGATGATGCAGAGTTTGGGGACCTGACCTATACGAACGCACCCACCACCCTGCCCCCTACCCCTGTCTCTGTCTGTCAATCTATCTATCTATCAGTCTAGGATATAAAACGCACGCGCACCGCCGGGCGCCGGCACCGTCGGCGTCTCGGCGACAAAGCAAAGCGATCGAGCGAGGAAAAGCGCATGAATCGGCGGCAGAAATATTCCTGGGCGACGGGACGGGCCAACTTATCACGCACGGCGTCCACGCCGCCGAAGCCGATTGGCGGGGCGAGCTCCGCGGCACATGGGCTCGACCTGCCCCCGCCCCGCATTCTGTAATCCACCCATGAAATCTTTCTAGTTTTCGCAGTGCGTCAACACTCAGCAGAGCAATACCCATCTGATTTTTAATTTTTTTTGACATTATACCCAACCGGTTGGTAGGGCATGTCTGTTGCTGCGTTCATGCTAAACTATGCGTCTTTGGAGCTGTACCCCAAACACGACTGTTATGGCATCTGACATCTGTGTTTGGATTATTCGAGTTTGCTTACACAAGCGCATACATACAGAATGTGGCAAGGGAATCTTGACGACCTCAGATTGTTGCTTTGCTATATTGTGCATGTCCCAAAACAAAACCTATGTTATGGAACCATAGTTATGTGTACTTAGTGGGATGGGAGGCGGGACGTGTGTCTTCCAAACATTGGCACGTAGATGCTATAGGTTCCCTAGATGGGACTAATGATGAAGCTAAATTACCCCGGTATCCTCAGTGAAAGTGTCGTGCGAATACTATTCTCCACTACGTGTCACTATCAAAGCACTGTATGCAGTGGATCGAAGTGGACCAAGGTGAAATGGTCGGTGGAGTTATTAGGTGGGTCCGTTAATAGCGTCTTGTTCGATTGGCTTATAAATCGTATTTTTTCAGCTAACGAATAGTATTTTTCTCTCATCACAAATTAGTCAACAGTACTTTCAGTCATGGCTTATCAGCCAAGCGAACAGAGCATATGACTATAGTGTCTTTTTTTTAGATAAAATTCGAATAATATAAGGGCTTTTATTTCAAGACGGACGGAGCATGTGCTTCTCCTTTTTTTGAGGGGATGTGCTTGTTTTTCTCGTTTGGCAGCCTTGTTGCATTTTCTCGCGTGTCAACACGGATGTGGTGAACCGGTCACCCACCTCTTATGGCTCACTTGATGATTTGACATTAATTTTCCAGTAATTGTCTCAATTCATGGGACGATGGTCGATGGCCGCAACCCCAAATAAAAGAGCACAGTGCTTTCCTCTTGTGCACAGGCCAGTAAGCCGTGTGGTGTACTTGCTTTTTTTTTTTGCTTTATTTATTTCACTACCAACCAATTCAAGAATAAGAGATGGTTCTTTATCCTACCAAAGTTCGCTTTCTCCGGTGTCCTGTAGTGTTGATGCACCGATTCAAGAACAAGAGATGGTTCACGGTTTGGAAAGGTGTGATCCACCAAAACGCTGTAATGGTTAGCTAAGCACCAAAAGCGGGCGACATGACACGCCCCACGCCGGCACTGTGCTGTAGCGGTGTAGCCACAGGCCCACACCCTCCTCTCCCACAGAGCCGGTAGCCCGGTACGGTCGTGGTCACGGAGACCGGACGGCGGCGAGGGCGAGGGGATGCTCCGGCCGCCGCTTTTCGGCCCAGTGGATGGGTGCTGGGTGGTGGGGTTGCGCCGCGGTCTGCTGTCCCCTGGTTGCGGCCGGCCGGGGCGGGCTTTATTCCCGCAGGAGGCGGGACGTATCGCCGACTCGGCGAGTTGCTCAGGACTGCACCGCACCTTGTGATTTGTACAGGTCCCGAGTTACCTAGCCTTGATGCTACGTACGTGTGCGGTGAGCTCGAGAGTCAGGAGATCGATCACACACACATTCGGCTCACATATTCGTTACCATCTTATTACCGTGATAATATTAGTATCTCATACGGTCATACCTTGGACGATATATGACCATACATGTTCAGATCCAGATGTATCTTGGAGGATCTGCAAAGGACAAACGGATAAGATTGATCAAAAGACGGGGACGTGATGGATGGGTTGGTTTTCATTACCGCTTGCACATGACGGTCGACGGATATTTTTCCCCTGCAGAATGCAGATTGAAGAGGACAGCAGCGATCACTACTCAGAAGTGACCGGTGGCTGCAGACCCCTGCATGCAGCGTAGCAAGAAAAGGACACTGCTACAACTACAACATGGTTGGTTTGCCATCTTTCTTAGGTACTTGAGCTACCTAATATAGTCCTTCTGACAGGACAATATCTAGCCATCTTGTACATTCCAGCATCAACGAAAAAAAAAGGAGTAGCATTATCCCTCTTTAGTGTGATCTTATTATGGCTTACTTAATCATCTCTGCAAGAGTAGATTCATCAGAACATCCGTAATTGTGAACTCAGCATTCAGGGAACAGAGAATTATGCAAATCTACAATAATTGACAAGTGAAATCTTCAAATTCTTGGTTGCATTACATTCAATTGGTAGCAAACGAATTTGGAATACTTTAGAAGACTTAGCAAATAGAGTTTTTTCTTTCTTTCTTTCAACTGCACCAGTTTCAAGTACAGTAATTTCACGAAAACGCCTTTTCCTATTCAGAACTTCATCTCTATCCAGGATTAAAGAAAGGTGTTCATTTGTCAGAGGAATAAAGAGGAAAAGATATTTTAAAGCATACTTACCGTCAACAGTTGACAATGATATGCAAGCCGAAACCAATCGATCAAAATGTCAGGTCCAAGCTTGCTATAATATATATCCTGTCTCTAGGATAGCTATAGCTAGAAGACGAAGCTAACACAGAGAAGCACTGGTTATTAAAAAAAAAAAGCACTCTATGGGGACCATATTACGGCAGTTCACTCATACTACCCAGCTTCGGGTGATTCAATAAACTTTGGAAAATAATAGGTAACACATCAGGAAATCAGTAACTTTCTAGGATCAAACCATGAGTAGGTTACTGTTGTCGAGTATAGTCTGATTGACAAACACCAACAATAAAGCCTACTAGTCTCAAGTGAGTTGAGGACTTGAGGTAGGCTATATAGAACATAAAAAAATATCAATAACATTTAACAACATAACGTAAAAGATGTTTTAACTGTCCCATTTACAGTACCTATACTTTTAAAATCAAACTAAAAATGTCAACTGGCACTTCTCTGGTTGGAAGGTTTAAAAAAGTCTCGATGGTGATATTTTGGTTTAGCTTTTTGTCCAGAACTTCTTGGACGCCATGATAAGCAACTAGAGTGTTCTTGAGTATTTCCTGATTTCATATGAAATAGAGGTGATGGAAACCATATGTCTGTTCAAAGTCAAACCCCCTGTGATTTTTTTCACACATTCTGAGAGCCTGTTATAGTCATTAAGCAACTGGGTCATTGCTGCTTTTAGAGTTGCCATCCCAGACAAAAGGTTACTACAAGAAGTTATGACTTCATTGTGCATGAGCTCTAGAGCAGTTCTCCACTTCATGGCAAAGTTCTTCACAACTGGCTCAACATCAGCAATATTGGTGTCATCGGTGTAAGATACCAAGTCTTCCGCTAAAAAGAGGATAAGAATGATCATTTTTTGCATATTCCCATGGGTGATAGCATTCACATCAACTGGGATGAAGTTTTCTGCAACTTACAAACATGACTCCTCACAAACCGAAGTAAGTCACTGAAATGTTCCATGAGCAAATCATCCTGTACTCCAACAAAGATGACATGAAAAACTTTGTTTGAAAAGATACAATGAAATCATTTCAGTTCATAAAAAGGAGCCTATAATATGTAAGATCTTGATAGTAAACTGGAAACAGGTCAGTGTTCTTGTGGTGGGGAGGCTATTTAACCTCCCTGACACCTGAGTTTGATTCCTGGGCATTTGGTTTGGTTAAAAGACTTTTTTCCTCGAACATGCAGAAGGCTAAAAGGAAAACAAGAAGAAGGAAAATGTAGAAAAGCTTGAAAGAAACTCACAACACTGGTAAATCCAAATAAATGGTTGTAAATATTATCTTGTAATCATATCTTAATGTTCTCATTTCCATTCGCCGTATGGAATGTTATCCAAAAATTTTAGAATAATTAAGATTTAAGAAATTATATTTCAAAGTGTAATGTGCATATCTTTACTCATTCCCAAAGTTTAATAAATGGGCAGTGATCCGTCAGTTACCAACAATAAACAATGTGACTAAAGATACTTAGTTTTTTATACCAAATATTTTTACAGTTATCAATATATGTGTCAACCTATCAGAAATATTGTAAAGGGTCAAAATCACCCATTTGCGGTCTAAAACTTGCCATTAGTCCCCTATTGCAGCATGGTCGTAGTGGAGATCGGTTTCAACCTAGCATAAGTTCAATAAAAAATACTAGATCCCACTAGCAGCAATCCAAAACAGCACAACCCACAAGCTGCAACCAGCCTGTTAGTTTTCGTGGCTCAGTAATAGTACATAGCGGATACTGAAGACATGAGAGGATTGCTTTACCACAAAAGCCATCATGTTAGTTTCTAACTTCTCTTCAAAGTATCTTTGCAGTTTTTTGGCTTCATCACCAGCTTCCTGAGAAAAGAAAAGCTACAGTAAACTTTCAAAAGAATTGTAATGAGTATAAGATGAGAAATTATAAATTGAAGCAGGAAACAGACCTTGAGGACAGAGATGGCCATGTCATAATTATTCAAAAGAAAAAGGTGCTGCAGCTTGGTAGTTGTAAAAGTTTGGGCAAGCCTAATAAGTAGGACATCAATAGCTGACTGCAAGCGTTCGAAGTTCATATCAAGCTGCATAAATCATGAATCATACTATCATATAAGCTGGCAACCTAATTACAGCATTCACAGAACCAAAAGCTGAACGGAACAATATCACGATTTGGAATGAATCTGGAACTGGAATTTCTGATCCCTGCCCCACATTTTTCTTGGGAAAGGTCAGAAACTCTATTTTGTATTTGAGTTTGGTACTAAAGAGAGGTATATTGAAGATCCCTGCCCCACATTTGAATTTGGAATGAATCTGGAACTGGAATTTCTGATCCCTCCACCATACAAATCTGATTTTATTGAGTAGTATAAGAGGTACTATAATTGCCTATTCTGAATAAAGATTTCCAGTTGTAGTCCACTTTTATGAATGTTTTTTACGAAACCTGTGTAGCAGTCCTATTAGAAATCCAACAAGAGCAGATAGACAATTTACTTGCATAACGATCACCAAGTGAACAACTTCAGAAGTGAGATATATGCAAGTAGGTCAGCAAGGTACTATTTAAGTGACCATTTAAAAAATAATGTTTTTATCAATAGGATCTTAGTATATATATAGCTGCTTGCAATATTAAAAAGGCAGTGGCATTAGGTAATTAAACAAACCTGACCATCTCCGCATTCAGCATTAAGTTGAACAAGGGATGCTGTGAACTCCACGTAGCACCTTGCAATATGGTGTGGATGGGTACCATCTATCCATATTGTTTGCGCATCGCACTGATATAAGCTTTGAAGATACATGTCAAACACTACCTTGAAACGTGGCCAGAGATACATCAGAGCCTAAAGCAGATACAAGAGGGTCATGATCAAGATAAGAAACTAAAAAAAAGAACAAATGGAAGTTGATAGCTGAGTGATTTATCACTCATACAAAATTGTGGCTCTTTACGAACCTTATCAAAATAGTTATCAAAACAAGGAAGTCGTCTGTCGCACATAACCAACTGAAACAAAAAAGGGACAATATGGTGAACTAACAAGCAGAATGAGCTATATTAGAAAGAAAAATAGTTTAGCAAATGATCCATAATCTTATGGTTTAAGAAATTAACTTAGGTGCAATTACAGCATGTGTGATCAGCAATAACACATTTTCTTTTGTTGATTACACAATTAATACGTTGTGTTTATAACTTCCTACCTAGTGCTTCCTAGTTATGCAGATTATGAGCATGAGGCATACAGCATCATGACAATTTGGAAGAGTGATATCCAAATGTTGATCAATAAGAGCAAAAGGTCCTGAAAGTAATGGTGAGAAAATGAGATTTTGTCACAACATTTGAAGCTGATGCTTCATCATAGATGATACTTTGGGGGCCATCATGATTTTTGCCATTGCGAGGATTCCCCTTTTACCTAGGTTCAAGTCCTCTCGAGGTGAATTTGGGTGCTTATTTTCTTCTTATAAAATTCCACCTATTTACTCCTAGGTTGGTCTAGTTTTTTTGCGATTCTCCTTTCTGGATTTTCCGCCCATAGTAATGAAATACATGATTTACCAATTTTTTATTTGTGCACTCAGGATTTCCCACTTTGGGTGTGTTGGAGTATAAGTGAATTGCCCACCTCTCCCCATCAGCTTAAGCTTGAACTGGTTGGTGTATGCAACTCAATAGGGTGTATTATCTCAGTTTTTTGGCCAAAAACACTGAGTGGAAATGTGCTTATGACAAGATCCCAACTATCCTGCAACGCCATGGTATAGCCAGACCCATAACAAATTTTATATCACATTTGCTTAATCCCAGTCAGATTCACTCCATTTGCTTGACCTGTTAATGTTTCACTCAATCTACAGATGCGAGAATGGTTGTAGTTGTCCAATCTATTCTTTTGAAAGGTAACTCGTTGTACCCCTTTATGTTCTGAATCGGGCCCATCCTCGTGACGGCCGAGATCTTTTTCGGGTTGGCTTCGATGCCACGCTCGGAGACGATAAAACCCAGCAGCATACCCCTTGGGACCCCGAAAACTCACTTCTCGGGGTTGAGCTTAATACCGTTTGCTCGGAGTTTTGCGAAGGTCTGCACAAGGTCGGCTACGACCTAGTGAGCCCGTTTGGACTTGACCACGATGTCAGCCATGTAGGCCTCAACGGTTCGCCCGATGAGGTCCCCGAAACACTTGATCATACAACGCTGGTACATAGCCCCTACGTTTTTCAGACCGAACAACATTGTGACGTAGCAGAATAATCCGAATGGGGTGATGAAAGATGCCACGAGCAGATCGGACTCTTTCATCGCGATCTGATGGTACCCGGAGTACGCATCAAGGAAGCAAAGGGTTTCACACTCTGAGGTCAAGTCGACTACTTGGTCTATGCGTGGCAAAGGAAACGGATCATTTGGACACGCTTTGTTGAGACCAGTGTAGTCAACACACATTCTCCATTTCACACTCTTCTTTCATACAAGAACGGGATTGGCTAACCACTCGGGGTGGTATACTTCCTTGATGAACATGGCCGCCAAAAGCTTCGCAATCTCCTCGCCGATGGCCCTGCACTTCCCTTCGTCGAAGCGGCGCAGGCGTTGCTTCACCGGCTTAGAGCCTGGCCTGATCTTCAAGGCGTGCTCGGCGACTTCTCTCGGAATGCCTGGCATGTCCGAGGGTTTCCACGCAAAGATGTCTCTGTTGGCACGGAGGAAGTTGACAAGCGTGCTTTCCTATTCGGATGAAAGCGTGGTGCCAATGCGCACCACTTTGCCCTTGGAGCCACCGGGGTCTATGAGGACCTCCTTGGCGCCCTCCACTGGCTCGAAAGACCCAGCCAACCGCTTGGGGTCAGGTGCTTCTTCGACGACCTCTTTCCTGATGGCCGCAAGCTCCTTGGAGGCGACGATTGCCGTGGCATGTTCGCAACACTCGACCTCGCACTCGTAGGCGCACTGGAGGAGGTACCGATGGTGATGACCCTGCATGGTCCCGGCATCTTCAGTGTTAGATAGGTGTAGTTAGGGACGACCATGAACTTCGTGTAGCATGGACGTCCCAGGATGGCGTGGTAGGTTCCATGGAACCCAACCACCTCGAAGGTGAGGGTCTCCGTCCTATAATTAGATGGATACCTGAAAGTGACGGGCAAATCGATCTGCCCAAGTGGCACGGCCTGCTTTCTAGGCATGATGCCATGGAAAGGCGCCCCGGTCGGTCAGACACGCGTTCGGTCGATGCCCATGGCGTCGAGCATTTCGGCGTACATGATGTTGAGGCCGCTGCCTCCATCCATCAGTACCTTGGTGAGCCACTTCATGCCGATGATCGGGTCGACCACGAGCGGATATCGTCCCGGCTTCGGGACGCTTTCCTGGTGGTCGGTCCGATCAAAGGTTATGGCGGACTCCGACCATTGGAGGAAGGAAGGCGCGGCTGGCTCAACCGTATAGACCTCGTGATGCGCAAGCTTCTAGCGACACTTGGAGTCGTAGGCCGTCGACCCTCCGAAGATCATGAGGCAGCCATCTAGTGGCGGAAAGCCGCCATCCTTCTCCTCGGCGTCGTCTGTGGTCGGCTTGGGGTGCCCCCTATGCTCCCCCTTGTTGGAGCCTCTGGACAGGAACCGTTTCATGAGGCCGCAGTCCTTGTAGAGATGCTTGACGGGAAAGGCATGGTTCGGGCATGGCCCTTTGAGCAGCTTCTCAAAGTGGTTTGGGATACCCTCGGCGGTCTTTCGACCCCCCTTGCGGTCTGCGGCGGCCACGAGTGAGCCCTCGCGCCGCTGCTTGTTCTTCTTCTTGCTGCGACTGTTGGAGGCGCCTTCGCCGACATCCTCATCTCGCTTCACCTTGCCCTTGAGGCGGTTGAAGATTGCTCCGACCGCATCCTCACCCGAGGCGTGGCTGGTGGTGATGTCTAGTTGCTCCTTGGTGGTTCGTGGGCCCTTACGTCCCAGCTTGTGAACCAAGGACTTGCAGGTGGTCCCAGACAGGAAGGCTCCTATGACGTCGGCATCGGCGACGTTGGATAACTCGTTGCATTGCCGGGAGAAGCGCCGGATGTACCCACGAAGGGTTTTCTCGGATTTTTGTCGACAGTTTTTGAGATCCCAGGGGTTCCCAGGACGTGCATACGTGCCCTGAAAGTTCCCCACGAAGATCTCTTTCAGGTCCGCCCAACTTTGGATTCTGTTGGGCGGAAAGTGTTCCAACCATGTTCGCGCCGAATCAGCCAGGAACAATGGAAGGTTGTGGATAATGAAATCATCATTATCCGCTCCACCGGCTTGGCAAGCAAGCTGATAATCCTTGAGCCACAGTCCAGGGTTTGTTTCCTCAGAGTATTTCAGTATGTTGGTTGGTGGTCGGTACCGTGGTGGGAAGACGGCATTGGGGATGTATCGGCCGAAGGCCTGAGGTCCCGGCAAGTCGGGGCTCAGGCTTTGGTCCTCGCCGCTGTCGTAGCGTCTGCCACGACGAGGGTGGTAGCCATGGCTAGCCCCCTCCCTCGCATCGCCGCAGGCACGCCTGCGGGCATCGAGGGTGTCGCGTGCGTCACGGTCGCGCTCATGCACCGGGGTTGCGGTGTGCGGCCTGCCGCCTTGCAGCGCCTGGTGGACTGACGCGTCCTTGTCGGTTCGCTCTGAGGGCGTGCGCTGGCTGGCATCGAGCTCGTGTCATCGGGACAGTGAGCTCTCGGCCTGCTATGCCGCCGCACGCTTGAGTAGCATGCGAATCTCGCGATGGACCCGATGATCCTCGGGCATCGCGGGCCCCGGAAGCCCCTGGAGTAAGGTCGCCGTAGCAGCGATGTTCTGGCTCGGCCGGGTGAAGTGTGGGAGGGCTTCATCATCCTTGATGATCCTTCGGTTCACGTCGCCGGCCACGGCGCGCACACGCCCACCATCTCCGTGGCGCTCGAGCTGGAGTTGCGCTTCCTCAAGTTCTTGGTGCCGGGCCTTCAGCTGCTCCACCCGTAGGTGTGGTGGGGCCCTGCATCCCCCTCGACCTCGTCGTCGAGGTCGTTCGTTGGGGTAGCCTATACAGGTGTATTATTGCCTATACAGGTGTTAACATCAGAGGAGTTATACTATGCTTTATGCCAGTACGGAGTTGATCGATAGTCAACTTTAAAAAAAACATGGCCAAGTCAAGGGAGGCAATGGTTTTCTAGAGGAGATAAGGCTAGGTGACAAGCAGCAGCCTAACTGATGGTTGCCCTTCCACATCACACTTCCCTTTTTGCCACTAGCAACACTCAATAATCCAAGTCTAGAGATTTAGGCCCTTTTTGTTAGAGGAAAGTGAGAGGAGTGGAAGTGTTTTTTACTGGAAAACAAAATGGCCTTTTTGCTGGGTTGGGAGAGACAACCACATCAGCTGTGGTCCTTGACTGCATGCGAACAAAGCACTTCTGCACTTGGGTTAAACTAATGGCATATCTCCCATGGTTCAGCGATTAATTGGAGTGTGCTTACGTTTGTAACAATAGCTTGCTTGACTACTTCTTACTTGGCTGCAAAGCAATTCAGTATGGAGCTCCACTTAAGTTACCCCCTCTTAGTTCGATAGCAGTCCGCTGCGATAACGAAGAGAAGTGTTTTCCAGTTTTAATTATTTAGTTTTTCATACAATAGCTATCACCCATCAATATAATGTGGGCATTATAAATAAATAATGTATCTGACAGGTATATGATCTTTGCTAATTAACTTCCAAAGAAACTACACGGTTTCTTAGCAGAAGGAATCCTGACGTCGTCCTAGCCAAAATGGTACTGCTTGCTCTCCAGTAATTAGTAATTGGTTAATGAGCGAGGTTGCATCATTGACACTCTGACCAGTATTTCACGTTGCGTTTACATGCAAGTGACACTTGATCATATACATACTAAAAGCAACAACGTCAATCGACACACGTATGATCTTAGTCAGGCCACATATGTATATGTGCCTTTAATAATTTAAGTATACATATACCTGCAGCGTCCTGTATGTAGTACCAAGTTTCGGAGTCAACCAAAGTATACACATAAGTAAGTGATTTGTGCAATGGATCAACACACAGAGCATTCAATTAAAGGATAGAGGACACAACAATCAGATTTAGTTTTCTAGGAGAGACTCATGCATATGGTGCGTGACCATGCCTTGATACTGTTTAAAGCAGCCCGCTAGGCTTCTAAAAATGGAGCGAGAGGTTTTGTCTCCGGAAAGCATTTGTGTTGGTTGTTGCCAGCAGTGTGTGCTCGATGATCGCAGTGTCATGCATAGGCATAGCACACAGAACAATCAGTGGTGCAGCACTGTTGTGAGTTCTTGTGACACAAGCTAGCCAGCAGCAGTGCAAAGGCGAGCTTGGACACTCGTGCGTGTGTCTTGCTGTGTCCCCTACGATCAACCTACGACTACGATATGATCTGCACCAAACCCTGCAATCTAATCCTGCTCCATCTTTCCACACCCGACAGCATATGCCTCATCTCCAAGGAAAAGGTTTCGTGCAAATCCAGCTCTGGGTTGATTGCTCTATCTGCAAACGACCCAGCCAAATTGCTGTTGCTATCATAGTGCAGTTTGCATATATGATCGACGATGCTTCTGGTCTATCTAGTAGCAGTTTTTTTAGGGAGGGAAATAGCTAGTAGCATTGAGCGGCTGAATCCATAATAAATTTGTTTGATTCACTTGGATGCATGTAATCAGATCCCGTGTAATTAAATCAGGTCCGAGGCCATGCAAATCCAGCGCTAATCATTACCACAGCTCGACAGGCGGTCGGCGTATGCCCCGTTCGGCTTACCTTATAATCCGCACTATTCAGTGTTTTTCTTTCACGATAATTCAGCCAGAACAATGTTTTTCAGCCAATTCAGCTAAGTTTCAGCAAGACGAACGGGGCCATGCGTATCTGACACGAGAGCTAGCGTCGAACCAAACAATTAAAGATATATGGAGGACTGATTATCTTGTAATCTCATTGCCCTGTATCTCATACCATTTACGTTTGCAGTGTTGGTTCTGAACTCAACAACACGTAAGTTGAATTGAAGTAGTTAACGCAGCAGTTATTAGCTAGAGACTAAGTATCTTATTATGGTAGATTTTGAGTATGCTATGGAGACCTGGACTGCGCGACGGTCACGAGTGATTACTGATTATGATTAGTAGTAGTTCGTCTAAAAAAAAAAGATCAGTAGTAGTTGGTAAAGTGCATTTTCTAACCTTGCACCGCAGTCTGATTTTAAATCATAAACCATGAAATTGGGTACCAAATATACTTCGACTATTCAAATCTGTCAAAAAATTGTTTTTGACGGATTTTAAAGCTAGTTTTCTATTTTCTAAAAATAACAAAAATCTATTTTAATATTTAAAATATAAGTAATTTGTTTTAAATTAGAAAATTACGAAACTAGTATTATTTTTAAAAAAAATATTATCTATCTACTTAAAGTTATCTATTTAGAACTCTAATAAGTAGGAACTAAGATAAACAAGTTCCAAATAATTACAAACAGGCCAAACAGGCCATAGGAGGGTGTTCCGGTTCCGTAGTTCAGAATTAAAAATCGGACTGCCGTGTAAGCTGGAGGCGTATGTAAAGGAGTTTTTACTCTTAGTTACTGCACACCAGATAAAGGTGAGGCTACGAAAGCTAGCTCATGTAGAAACTTCCATTCCCTGAAATTAAAAACGAGATCACAAGATCAGGCAACAGTCGTCGTTACTCGGAGGACATGAACATGTCACGTACGAGTGGAAAGAGATAGGTAGCCACGAAGGATTTCAGTGGCACACCCATACACACACCACTCACACACTCAACACGAGCACGCAAGCAGCTTGGAGAAATTCATACATATGAAATGGTAATTCAATTTCAACCGGCCGGGTTTCCGCTGATGAAATTGTGAAAGGCCTCTATGGTGAGGGTCGAGGTAAAGTGAGACAGGCCCTATCAATGCGAGAAGCGCTAGCCAGTAGCCACAGCCCACACATGATAGTAAGTACAATGCAAGGCCGCGGTCGTCTCGCGAGGGTCACTAGTCAAACACCAACCCCATCCATTCCGACAGCTAGCTAAGCCAGCATCATCAAGCCATAATTAATATGCTAGCGTGATGCTGAAATTTCTCAGGGGACACCACCCATCTGCAAGTGATAGCTTGTGTATTCTGCTGAGAAAAATTGAATGATAGCTACGTACGTACTTGGTCGTCGTCGTCGCTCGCTGCATTTATTTATAAGTACTGTAATTTCTAAGCAGCGAGCTAGGTGGCGTACGTTAATTATAGGAGAGAAGAAACAGTCCAAACTTATCTCGCCGATGGAAAAGTATAGTAGAAAACGCACACAGATCACATATATATAATATAATTAGCGGTGACCAAGTGTCCACGCGCATTGTCTTTGGAAAAAAAATGTGCACGCTACTAACACTGCTAGAAACACAACATTTGCCAACAGTTGGTTGTAAAACATACGAACTCTATCCTAGAAGAAAAGGAGAAGGAGAAATTCTAATCCTAGTTCGTTTGTATATGGGCTCTTACTAAACTCTTAGTCCTTAGTAGGACTATATATACGTAGGAGCTCTACGTTGTAATTACAAATATTCAGAGAAATAAAGAATAGTCTCTCTATTTTGTGTCTATTTGTTCTTCTACTTTCATTTACTATGTTGGTCATGAGAGACGAAGAGAGAAATGCCCTAACCACTGATAATATGTTTTATAACATAGTTAAGTATAATGGCCAACGGGCAGTCGGTGAGATTGTGAATTCCAAGCTGCCCTGTCCATCTTTGTATCAAATGGCCAACCTTGCAGAGTATTCCCGAATCCCGAGGGTTAGAAAGCTAACCAGTCGGACACTAGACTAATGGCCGACGGGAAAACTAATTCCCGACAATCCTAACGAGACACGTGGCAAATGGTTATAATAGCCAACAGTTACGATTCTCAATCGTGGTACTAGGACACTCGGCTATTTCGGTGATGAGCCATTGCCAATTTTTGTTGGTTGATTATTGTTGGTCCTTGTATCAAATGCCCGATAGTGTAAGATAATGGCCGACAGTATAAAAACCATTGGCTATTCTTACGATTCTAGTAGTAAGTCAAGAGTATATATATATATGACCGCACTATGCAAAACCTACCGTGACTGCAAAACCATTGGCAACGCATGAATGGAGCCAAGAAGACCAGAAAAGTCGCCGTCTTGGCGCCTTCGGCCGTCCCCGTGCATGCTCTCCGGCCGCCTTGCCTGCTTATCCAGATGATGCAGAGTTTGGGGACCTGACCTATACGAACGCACCCTGCCCCCTACCCCTGTCTCTGTCTGTCTATCTATCTATCTATCTATCTATCAGTCTAGGATATAAAACGCACGCGCACCGCCGGGCGCCGGCACCGTCGGCGTCTCGGCGACAAAGCAAAGCGATCGAGCGAGGAAAAGCGCATGAATCGGCGGCAGAACTATTCCTGGGCGACGGGACGGGCCAACCTATCACGCACGGCGTCCACGCCGCCGAAGCCGATTGGCGGGGCGAGCTCCGCGGCACATGGGCTCGACCTGCCCCCGCCCCGCATTCTGTAATCCACCCATGAAATCTTTCTAGTTTTCGCAGTGCGTCAACACTCAGCAGAGCAATACTTAATCATCTCTGCAAGAGTAGATTCATCAGAACATCCGTAATTGTGAACTCAGCATTCAGGGAACAGAAAATTATGTAAATCTACAATAATTGACAAGTGAAATCTTCAAATTCTTGGTTGCATTACATTCAATTGGTAGCAAACGAATTTGGAATACTTTAGAAGACTTAGCAAATATAGTTTTTTCTTTCTTTCTTTCGACTGCACCAGTTTCAAGTACAGTAATTTCACGAAAACGCCTTTTCCTAAGCACCAGTTCACTCATACTACCCAGCTTCGGGTGATTCAATAAACTTTGGAAAATAATAGGTAACACATCAGGAAATCAGTAACTTTCTAGGATCAAACCATGAGTAGGTTACTGTTGTCGAGTATAGTCTGATTGACAAACACCAACAATAAAGCCTACTAGTCTCAAGTGAGTTGAGGACTTGAGGTAGGCTATATAGAACATAAAAAAAATATCAATAACAGTAAACAACATAAAGTAAAAGATGTTTTAACTGTCCCATTTACAGTACCTATACTTTTAAAATCAAACTAAAAATGTCAACTGGCACTTCTCTGGTTGGAAGGTTTAAAAAAGTCTCGATGGTGATATTTTGGTTTAGCTTTTTGTCCAGAACTTTATGGACGCCATGATAAGCAACTAGAGTGTTCTTGAGTATTTCCTGATTTCATATGAAATAGAGGTGATGGAAACCATATGTCTGTTCAAAGTCAACCCCCCTGTGATTTTTTTCACACATTCTGAGAGCCTGTTATAGTCATTAAGCAACTGGGTCATTGCTGCTTTTAGAATTGCCATCCCAGACAAAAGGTTACTACAAGAAGTTATGACTTCATTGTGCATGAGCTCTAGAGCAGTTCTCCACTTCATGGCAAAGTTCTTCACAACTGGCTCAACATCAGCAATATTGGTGTCATCGGTGTAAGATACCAAGTCTTCCGCTAAAAAGAGGATAAGAATGATCATTTTTTGCATATTCCCATGGGTGATAGCATTCACATCAACTGGGATGAAGTTTTCTGCAACTTACAAACATGGCTCCTCACAAACCGAAGTAAGTCACTGAAATGTTCCATGAGCAAATCATCCTGTACTCCAACAAAGATGACATGAAAAACTTTGTTTGAAAAGATACAATGAAATCATTTCAGTTCATAAAAAGGAGCCTATAATATGTAAGATCTTGATAGTAAACTGGAAACAGGTCAGTGTTCTTGTGGTGGGGAGGCTATTTAACCTCCCTGACACCTGAGTTTGATTCCTGGGCATTGGGCATTTGGTTTGGTTAAAAGACTTTTTTCCTCGAACATGCAGAAGGTTAAAAGGAAAAAAAAGGAAAATGTAGAAAAGCTTGAAAGAAACTCACAACACTGGTAAATCCAAATAAATGGTTGTAAATATTATCTTGTAATCATATCTTAATGTTCTCATTTCCATTCGCCGTATGGAATGTTATCCAAAATTTTTAGAATAATTAAGATTTAAGAAATTATATTTCAAAGTGTAATGTGCATATCTTTACTCATTCCCAAAGTTTAATAAATGGGCAGTGATCCGCCAGTTACCAACAATAAACAATGTGACTAAAGATACTTAGTTTTTTATACCAAAATTTTTACAGTTATCAATATATGTGTCAACCTATCAGAAATATTGTAAAGGGTCAAAATCACCCATTTGCGGTCTAAAACTTGCCATTAGTCCCCTATTGCAGCATGGTCGTAGTGGAGATCGGTTTCAACCTAGCATAAGTTCAATAAAAAATACTAGATCCCACTAGCAGCAATCCAAAACAGCACAACCCACAAGCTGCAACCAGCCTGTTAGTTTTTGTGGCTCAGTAATAGTACATAGCGGATACTGAAGACATGAGAGGATTGCTTTACCACAAAAGCCATCATGTTAGTTTCTAACTTCTCTTCAAAGTATCTTTGCAGTTTTTTGGCTTCATCACCAGCTTCCTGAGAAAAGAAAAGCTACAGTAAACTTTCAAAAGAATTGTAATGAGTATAAGATGAGAAATTATAAATTGAAGCAGGAAACAGACCTTGAGGACAGAGATGGCCATGTCATAATTATTCAAAAGAAAAAGGTGCTGCAGCTTGGTAGTTGTAAAAGGTTGGGCAAGCCTAATAAGTAGGAGATCAATAGCTGACTGCAAGCGTTCCAAGTTCATATCAAGCTGCATAAATCATGAATCATACTATCATATAAGCTGGCAACCTAATTACAGCATTCACAGAACCAAAAGCTGAACGGAACAATATCACGATTTGGAATGAATCTGGAACTGGAATTTCTGATCCCTGCCCCACATTTTTCTTGGGAAAGGTCAGAAACTCTATTTTGTATTTGAGTTTGGTACTAAAGAGAGGTATATTGAAGATCCCTGCCCCACATTTGAATTTGGAATGAATCTGGAACTGGAATTTCTGATCCCTCCACCATACAAATCTGATTTTATTGAGTAGTATAAGAGGTACTATAATTGCCTATTCTGAATAAAGATTTCCAGTTGTAGTCCACTTTTATGAATGTTTTTTACGAAACCTGTGTAGCAGTCCTATTAGAAATCCAACAAGAGCAGATAGACAATTTACTTGCATAACGATCACCAAGTGAACAACTTCAGAAGTGAGATATATGCAAGTAGGTCAGCAAGGTACTATTTAAGTGACCATATAAAAAATAATGTTTTTATCAATAGGATCTTAGTATATATATAGCTGCTTGCAATATTAAAAAGGCAGTGGCATTAGGTAATTAAACAAACCTGACCATCTCCGCATTCAGCATTAAGTTGAACAAGGGATGCTGTGAACTCCACGTAGCACCTTGCAATATGGTGTGGATGGGTACCATCTATCCATATTGTTTGCGCATCGCACTGATATAAGCTTTGAAGATACATGTCAAACACTACCTTGAAACGTGGCCAGAGATACATCAGAGCCTAAAGCAGATACAAGAGGGTCATGATCAAGATAAGAAACTAAAAAAAAGAACAAATGGAAGTTGATAGCTGAGTGATTTATCACTCATACAAAATTGTGGCTCTTTACGAACCTTATCAAAATAGTTATCAAGACAAGGAAGCCGTCTGTCGCACATAACCAACTGAAACAAAAAAGGGACAATATGGTGAACTAACAAGCACAATGTGCTATATTAGAAAGAAAAATAGTTTAGCAAATGATCCATAATCTTATGGTTTAAGAAATTAACTTAGGTGCAATTACAGCATGTGTGATCAGCAATAACACATTTTCTTTTGTTGATTACACAATTAATACGTTGTGTTTATAACTTCCTACCTGGTGCTTCCTAGTTATGCAGATTATGAGCATGAGGCATACAGCATCATGACAATTTGGAAGAGTGATATCCAAATGTTGATCAATAACAGCAAAAGGTCCTGAAAATAATGGTGAGAATATGAGATTTTGTCACAACATTTGAAGCTGATGCTGCATCATAGATGATACTTTGGGGACCATCATGATTTTTGCCATTGCGAGGATTCCCCTTTTACCCAGGTTCAAGTCCTCTCGAGGCGAATTTGGGTGCTTATTTTCTTCTTATAAAATTCCACCTATTTCCTCCTAGGTTGGTCTAGTTTTTTTGCGATTCTCCTTTCAGGATTTTCCGCCCATATTAATGAAATACATGATTTGCCAATTTTTTATTTGTGCACTCAGGATTCCCCACTTTGGGTGTGTTGGAGTATAAGTGAATTGCCCACCTCTCCCCATCAGCTTAAGCTTGAACTGGTTGGTGTATGCAACTCGATAGGGTGTATTATCTCAGTTTTTTGGCCAAAAACACTGAGTGGAAATATGCTTATGACAAGATCCCAACTAATCCTGCAACGCCCATGGTATAGCCAGACCCATAACAAATTTTATATCACATTTGCTTAATCCCAGTCAGATTCACTCCATTTGCTTGACCTGTTAATGTTTCACTCAATCTACAGCTGCGAGAATGGTTGTAGTTGTCCAATCTATTCTTTTGAAAGGTATATGAGGCATATTAGATGTTGGCAGAGTGACATCAAATCTTTTCCCTAACAAAATAAAGAGTGTCCCTGAAGACAGTGGAAAGAAGACAAACGAATCATAAAACAACAAAAGAACGTACCTTCGAAAACTTGATAAAACAGTGCCTCTTCTCCAAAGAATGATTCTATGAAAAGATACCTGAAAAGTAAAATAGAAACTATTGATAATGTTAGCATACACACTTATTATACTTAACTGTAGATCAAATTGATAGATACTCAGAGCTTGCAGTGTCCATCAGAAGCTTCTGAAGGCTCCTGAAAATAACTTCATATGGGTATTTACGAGAGTTGACTTGAGATATATGCGGAACCAAGCCAGGTTGATGAATCTCCTGAAAAGTAAGGTAAACGGGATTATTAAATAGAACAATACTTTCTAAAGCAGCATTTGCTGAATGCTGCACCTTGGAGGACTAGGGTCCAAAAACAATGCAACATTGCTGAATCTCCAAACCTAGATAGAGCTCTGTTGGTCGCTAGTAGGAGCTTCTCTATTGGAGCTTGGCAGGGGCACAAGGTATCAATAACCTCCTTGCCCAGGGGCTGAATGAGAGTTAATTTTTGGGTCAAGGTCGCCTACTTTGTGTGTCAAGGGCTAGTCTGTTTAATTTGGACATAGTGGTGTGAGTGGGTGTGCCTTGTATGGGTTCTTATCCCTTTTTTTCTTCTTAATATAATGATGCGCAGCTCTCCTGCATGTTCGAGAAAAAAAAACATGCAACATTTTGCATTTGAAGTCAAGGTTTCCATGTTGCTCTGAACAGGAAAAGGATGTTCATAGAGTAAAGCACCTTCTTTGATGTGTTCAATCAAGTACCTTCAGAATATTTGCACGTTCACCTGATGAAAACATGAAACCATGATTTCTCAGATGCTCTCTTCCTCTTATTATAATATCAATGATACTGGTATCATGTCCACTAAAATCATTGAGTACACCAATATCTAGCTTCAACCTCTCCAATGCTTCTACATACACATGAAAGTATGTACTCAACACCTGTTTGCAAAAGGGGAAGGTGAGAACAAACTAAATCAAGATCACAAGGAACATAACTATCCAGTACAATTACTATGTTCATAGTGGAAGGTCACTATGACACCATGACTATGGGCACCACAAAAGCAGATACATAGGCAATTTTTTCTTACTAAAAGAAGCAGTATTCTGTCATATTCTAAATTCATAAGCTTTCCTCATGAATAGAAAATTCATGGAGACCTACAATTTGAGAACCAAATCAATAATGGGTAGCATGTACTGTACACTACTGGCTGCACAATGACATATTAGTAGGTTGGATGACACCCAGTTCGGATGTTGGTAAAAACATTAGGTAACAATGTGCTTCTGTTATCCGGAAATGACAGCTCCAATGTTCCATCAATACCATAGGAGAAACAAAGGTGCAACAGCTGAGGGCCACTATGTGGAAGGATGGCTAGAGCTTGATGCCAGATAAAGGAATCATAATCATACTGCCTGAGTCTTAGAGACTAGTTCCATATTGTGAAAACAGACTAAATGCAGTTTTCATTATGCAAACCAATGCCCAAAGTAGGCATTTTTTGTATAGTCAACGGAATCACCAAAACTTAAAAGATGAGCATCAAAAGCAAAGTCTCATCCTTCCTCCATCTAGTTAAATCACTTTCAGACACTGAGGCTTATACCTCCACACACTCTTGGAAACCCTGTTCAGATACCAACAGTTCATACAGATTTAGTCATGGAGAAACTAACTAGAACGTCAAAAAGACTTACCTTATTCATTGTATCAACATATGATGCACACAAATCACCATACGTCTCGGAACCATGCTCTTTAAGAAACAGAACGAGATACCTAAGAAACCATGTAAGCTACAATTATTTCATGCAGCAAATTAATGGAAAGTGGTCTGCATTTTATTGCATTTGCAACAGTGGAATGATCTCAATACAAATAAAGAAAGCAAGCGTGCTATTTTAATCTAATTATTTGTTAATGCAATACATGGTGATATGGCTAACAAATATAGTGTATGATGTGTACTAGATACAACCAGAACAGAAACAACACTCTTTCACATCCTAAATTCGGAATTCACTAGTCAAATTGTTCTCCCAATCCCCCAAAATAACAGTAATAATATAATAAATTGAAATAGTTTCTGCACTACCCATATAGTTTAAATTTGAAGCATTACTGAGCATGAAACTAACTCCAACAAATGCACTAAAGGTTTGGTGCATGGCAGTATAATTTTTTTTTAGGTAAAATGGGGTAGGTGACATGAGCAAAATAAAAAGACGAAGAACGAAGAAGAGTCATGCATCAAACTATCATGTGCAGCAGACACGAGTAAATCAAAGGATGGGAAGAGTGTGAATAAGATTTTCCTCATGAACATGCACATTAGAAGTTAACACCTTAGAAGATAAGTGTTGTAAGGAGAGAAAATTTTACTTCATGTATGAAATTAGTTTTGCACGGCATATACCTATGCTTCTGAAGCAAATTTTGTTGCAATATCTGTATATTAGTCCCAGGTTTTCTCATAGCAAAGAAAATCTCCATAATATGTCTAGAAATCTGAAATGGTAAATGCAGCGAAAGATGAGCATGAAACATCACTCCAGATCACATATTAACTACTGAACTAACATAAGCAGAAATTAAGAGGGAACAAACACATCGTCCATCAGAACCAGAAACAGTGAATAACCAAGATGATGTAACCTTGGATAGTGCCTTTTGTCGAAGCCTTTCCAATTCTTGCTTAATATCATTCAGAGCTTGTGATGCATTAATCAACGGATCATCTTGAACAAATTTCAACTTTGTGCTAAGGATCTCCAGACTTCTGGCATAACCATCATTTACCTAACAAAAGAAACTGGAATAGCAACTCATATGAACTATATGAAAAAAAAAAAGAATAGCAAGTCATTGTTCCTGAAAACTGACAACTTGCAGTGCACAAGATAAAACAGGAAGTAAACAATCAAAATGCAAAACCATAGCATCAAATATCTGAGCTTTTTTAGGACAGTTACCTCTCCATTAATAAGAATATTTACCAAACCAGGAGGAGCAACTATCTCTTCAACAAACCCAGCAAGCTTTGTCTCAACCAACTGGGCATGTTTAAGATTTCATGTCAGCACATAATGACAAAAAAGGCAAAAATGCATGAGTGTACCGTGCACTTATGTTACACTTGCAAGATATTAGTGGAAGGATAAATCAAATTGCTGTGAAAATTAATGTTACTTGTAAGCTCATTTGTGAAAATACAGGAAACCATTGATGTTAACATATGGTATTTGCTATGCAAGCTTGCCCTGACCTTGCGGTTCTTCAGTTTCAAGCTTATATCCCAGGATTTCTCCTGAAGGCTTCTAATTTCCGAGCTTATCAAACCTATATGGACCTGCCAAGTGAATCATTAAAATTAATTTTCAGTGATTTGATTATAATCAAAAGCTAATTTGAGCAAAAGCTGCTATAGAACATCGTCGTGCGAATTTAGTAAAAAGTAAATAAACCATCGTGAACTTGTAAAGCAACACTACAATCGACAAAATCAATTAGTAATGGATTTCCTTTTAATAAAAAGGAACACAGGAGCATTTTCTCTCTTGGTAAAAAAAGTAGTAGTTTGATCTATAGAATGTAAAAAAAAATATTTTAGTGACATCTGGGTTGGTGATTTGTTCAATTCTGGGACAAATTACATGGAATCATAAGATTACAACAATGCTAAGAAGGAGATTATATATGAATATGTGCCTCCTGTAGTCCTGTATGACAATGTAAAGCAGCCAACCAATTTATCACGCCAAGAGAGACTGAAAGTCCAATTTAAGAGAACATAACAGTAGCATCAAGTTTCATAGGTAAACACAACCCGGTATCCACATGATCTTTGAAGAAGATAAAAAAAACTATTGCGAACTACAAATACAAACACACCCATGTTTTGTATATCCACATTAACAAACTGCACCACCATTCCAGCAGTTGTTTTGCGTTTGTGCAGAATAACAGACCTACAATCTATTTAGCTACACCAATCGAAGGAATTTGACCTAAAACATGGAAATGCAAAAAATAAATAAATAATGCATACACTAGTTGAGTATATACCTGGAATCCACTAAGAATTGATCCTATTTGTGACAAAATAATGTCACAGTCATGAATCTGATCATGCAACAGAACAAGGCTGTCATTATCTTCAATATAATCCTGAGGATATAAACAAACATTCTCTAAGACCCAGGTGTTTAGATGCAATATTTCCACATAAAAATTCAGAAATAAAATATAGGACACGACATTGCTGGCTACGAAAAATATACAGATCTGTTCCATCAGTCGTACAATGCAGCTATTGAAAAACTTACCTGTAAATAAGTTACAACACAAAGGTATAGATTATAAGGCACCAATATATTGTTTTTGACATAAAAAAATGGGTGTCAGAATATGCGACTTGAAGCACTAGAATTGGTTGTTGATTATGAATTTTGCCAAAATGTGAAGGTTTAGCTTGCACATCAGTTCTACTGCTTGCATTGCTACACACATTGCGGCAGAAATTGTACACGTGGTATAACACAAGCTGATTGCTGCAAGTTCTGAAACCATTGCAGATTGCACTGCATTGCTTCAGTCTTCAGCGAAGAAGAAACTCGGTTGATGGATGAATTCCCATGCCATGATTTCCCCCCAATACATGGTGTTCACCGCCTAACTGAAAGGCTTCTGCAGCAGCGCGGTGAGGTAGACCTCGTCCTTGCCGCTGTTGCCGCCTCCGGCGACGCTCTTGTCAGCGGCGACCCACTTGATGGTCTTGTAGCCGAGCCTCCGCAGCATGGCGGCATAGACGCCCTCCAGGTTGCTCCTCCGGCACCAGAAGTGGTCCACCCAGAGCAGCCCGCCTGGGCGCAGCACACGGTCGGCGTCGTACCACAGGAACTCCAGCGCCGCCTCTGGGATCCAACGGTTCACGGCGTGCCCCGCACGCACCACGTCCATGGTCCCGTCTCCCACCGGGAACCGCTGCTGCAGCGGCACGTGCAGCGGGACCACCCCACGCGCCGCGGTCGCTTCCGAGTAGGGCGCGCCCAGGTTCATTGTGGTCGTCAGCACCGTGGCGTTGGCGAGCTTCTTGAGCCGCGCCGCCAGCGTGCCCGTGCCGCCGCCGATGTCGAGCCCGAGCCGGATGGGCCCCGCCCGGCTCAGCGAGGCCAGCCGCAGCAGCTGCGGCGCCGTCAGGTCCAAGGGTCCCCGCGAGCGGAGGAACCGTGCGGCCTCCGTGCGCGCCACGTCGAAGCCCAGCGACGGCGGCAGGCAGGAGAACGATTTGCACTTGCCCTCCTTGGGCCATCGGACGGCGGCGTCGGGAAGCGGGGCGAAGGGGTCGGTGGGGAGGAGTTTGGATGCTGATGCGGGTGCGGTGGGGGAGAAGCACCTGCGGCGCGGGAGCGGATGGCACCCGCGGAGGAGGAGGGGCTCGGCGAGGGAGAGGGCGTCGTCGGGGCAGGGCGCGAAGGGGGTGTAGGACATGTAGCGGTGGAGGAGGTCCGGGTGCGCGGAGCAGGCGGACGCGACGGGGGCGAGGCGGGAGTAGAGGACCAGCTCCGCCGGGGGAGGCGGCGGGGGAGGGGACGACGAGCGGAGGTGGTTCAGCTGCGACACGCCCGCGCGGATGGCGTCCAGCTGCCGGATGAGGACCAGGTCCTTGTCGCCGTCCCGTTGCTGCTGCTGGAGAAGGAGCGGCGGCACGGTAGCGGCGCGGAGGGAGAGGTGGTACAACGACACCAGGTTGGTGGCCACCACCGACAGCAGCAGCAGCACGTTCAGCTTCACGCCGAGGTTGAGGCCACCACCGCACGGCCATCCTGCTCCTCCACCACTGGAGGCGGAGGCCACCCCCGTCCTCCCCATCGCTGGCACGACTGGCTTGGAGAATGTCGGCGGGATCTGGGGGGAAGACTGCTACTGCAGTGAGCTCTGAGCTGAGACACTGGTGAGTGGTGATTGGGGTTGACCACTTGACCCCTGTCTGCTTAACACTACACGGTCCACTTGACCCCTGTCTGATTTTGACTTCCACAAGGTCCACGTATATTTGGTACAGTAGTTTCTTGTATTTAGCAGTTAAACAACATGGTACAGTGATCCATCAAAAAGCCGAGTGTCCAATAAAAGCATCCATGCTAACTAAGATTTCAGAAAACCTTGTTGAGCCAGATAAGACAGCATCACAATACTTTATCAATGAGGTTTGGCAACAGGGTCTATACTTATTATTGGGAACAAACAAATCATAATGATAGACACGAAACGAAAAATTTGTCATTTATTTGAAGTTTCCTGACATAACCACCATTTTTCCCTTGTAGGAAATATAGTTTCAGAAAGGAAATTATACATCCACCGTAGTGGATTATTCCATTAAAAAAATATGCTAGCCATCAGTTCTGAAAAAAAAAACAAATATGCTGCAATGTATAAGTGGTTTTAGCAGTGGCATAGCTATAGGTTTCAGTGACTCATACTTGAATAAGAGCTTCTTCAATATGGCCTAGGTCGCCCTCAACCAATGTTGCCATGCCTCGCTGTTTTTCACCATTGGTTAAAATACTTACTAGTACCTGGATACAGCAGAGAGAAGCACGTAAGTTTTTGGTATGACTGGTATATGACTTATGAGGAAAGATATAGATCAAGCTTCTAAGAACTTGAGTGAGGTATGTTGGGGCTGGAATGCTAAACATCATCTGGAAGGTGTGAATTTTGGCATTTGGTAGCCCAAAATGCATCCTCAATGTGTGAATGGTAAACTGAACAATACACACATGGTCCAGTATCTGGCTCACATGGGAACAATATCAAACAACATGCAAATCAATAGTTCATCTAAAATGTAGAATGAGAAGTGTCAATGCCCTTGACTGACATCATAGTCCTTGTGCTCTTCAAGTTCCTCCTCCAACTCATCCAGTGATATGTCCTCACTGTTAGAATAATAATACAGAATATAACATAAACGATTGGTGATATATCGTTGAATGAAAAGCAGGTTATGGTGAAGCGGTGGCAAAATTAGAAATCATAGCACAGCTAGAATTCAAATTCTAATGCAACTGAGATTGATGCGGTACCTTTCAGATTCTTCATCAAAGGTGATATATCGTTCGATTCGCTTCTTATGGGTCCCAGCCATATGAATTGGCTGATAATCGCTTCACGTGTAGTTCCTCTAGCAAACCGTTAGAAAAGTTATCGTAGCAAAAAAAAAATGCATTTGTCGTTTTAAAAGTAGTTGAATAGATAGGGTGACCGTGCTGTGAAGCATGAATGGACGCGGCAGGGGAGGTAGGTACCTCGCCTCGACCTGGAACTGGGGCGCCGCCCGGCTGCCGGCGACGAGCCTCTCGATCTCGCTACCCTAGCCTCGCGATCGGGAGCGGCGGACGGGGTGGTGCCGTCGTGGCCTGGTGGGATTTGGGAAGTGGGAGAGGCGGAAGCGAGGCTCGGGTTGCGCGGACGAGGCGAAGGAAATGGAGAGAGGTGGGCCGCGATCCGATTCGCGCGTTCGTGCCAGCGACCGCGCCGACCCCTCGCTGCGGAAGCCGTGTCGGTTCTATTTTTGGGCTTGTGGGAGCCGGTTGGTGCTTGGTGGCCACGAGTGTTCCTGCCTGCCCACCAGACCAGCTCAACGTTGATGTCTCCCAGTTTTCGTTGTAGTCACGTATCCTCAGGCTTAAGCGACGCGCCCGTCGCTAGCGAAGCGGCATTGTTTGTTTCGTCGAATGTGCGAGAAAAATACTATTTCGACTGGAAAAAATAATATAAGCGTACGTTATGGTTAGTATATGTTTCAGATGTAGCATGCACCCTAGTGGTGTGTTGCTAACGAAGAGAATGCAGAACGACACGTGCAGTGCAGTGCGCCCCCAGCGGCTTTGCAAGTTGCAACTGCAAGGACGCAAACACATTGCACATACAGAGTGCACGCTAGGCACAGGCGCACCAACTTGGCCCGCCAATGCACCATTCGACAGGCACCGCCAACAAGTTAAAAGATGGATTTGGGATTCACCATTTCACGGACCAAGATCAATCAATAAATCTACACAAAGTCTCGACGCGCACATTCTGCTGCAGGGGGCAGTTTGTGCGCCTTGTCTGCATGACCTAACGAACAGCAAGAGAACTAAAACAAACGATTGTTCCTTAACAAACAGACTGTAAATTCCTGTAGGTATAGTCATGGTAACACATAAATACTGCAGACTTTTCAACAGATCGCCAAAAGGTGAACCTGCAACCAGATAAAACCTTTGTTAGTACTAGTTGGTCGAAACCACAAGATCAAAGAAGTAACACTTGTTGAGGTGCAAATAAGGGCAGCATGAGCCATAGCGCAGACAGACAAAAGGTTCTGCCAACTATTTAAGGTAAAAACAAAGGTCAACAAATTGAAGCTAACATACGACTGCCTGATATTTCTTTAGTATAATATCTTACACGCTGAATGATTTAGCATGCACCTGGGGCAGTTTACAAATGTCATCAGTGCAGGTGGTTCTTTAAACAATATATATATTTAAGCTGAAGTGTCCCAGTTATTGTTCGTTTGGCTTATAAGCCGCGTACTTTTTCAGCCAACGAACAGTATTTTTCTCTCACAACAAATCAGCCAACGGAATTTTCAGCCATGGCTTATCAGCCAAGCGAACAGGGCATAGTACTATGCCCAAGAGAATTCTGGATTTCACTGTGAAAGCCTTGAGACATTATCGCTAGTGCTAAGGAAGATGTGCCTCATCCTCTGTTTTCGTTAACAATGAAAAAGGAAAAAAAAATCCTAGGTCTTTTTTTGTTGTCCTGCAAGGTGGTTAAGTGATTATAAAGCAGAAAGACACACTAAGCAAAGCTACTCCATGCTGGGTCAATGGTTCTGTAGATTGACTTATTTCTGAATCAACCATTACGGAATAATAACAAACTAAAGCAAACAAAAAAATTGAAACAAACTAAAAACCAATTGAAATAAACTAGAACCATCCTAGGATTCAACTAGAAGACCAGAAATGCAGTTCCAAGGGAGCAAATACAGTGATATGAATGTTTTGTTACGCTCATGCATCCAATCCAATGTTGATAAATTGACATTTGTTACAAGGATTAAGGAACGACCCAAACAAAAGTATGGGCAGAATAATATACAATTCTGAGCACTTTAACAATCCAAGTCATAATTTACTTTCAATCAATCATTTTGTATTGGTTAACTATGCAATATAAGTAAACCGAAATGATATACTGCCAACATTGATATAGAACCCATGGGAACCATGTAGGTAGCCAATTGTGAAGTGCTATGCTGAGAAAGATGTCTGTATAAACCAAACACACTAACCTTACAAAAACTTTTCTGATTGTTCTGTTACCCATCCTGAGGATAGTCCTAGTCTAGAAATGATACTTGCATCTTAAAAACATTCCAGAAATCATAATAAGAGATAGACGGAAAATGTTGAAAGTAGAATCTATCAAGTCCCACAGGATGGTTAATAACTAGGAAAAAGAAAAATCCACTATATAGACAGATGTTTACTATGACTAAAAGCATGCTAAAACAAAGAAACAGCACATACTGTCGTAGAGATATTTTTGATGCAGAAGCTATAGCCTTCTAGGTAGGCAATTAATAAGAACATACAATCATGTTGATTGCAAGCTTCTCAGTTTGCAAATCCTATATTCTTAACAAGACAATTGATCCCTACAGTTATGCTAGATATAGGATTAGAAGTTATTGTGTATAACCAAAAAGGTTTCTTCTCCATAAGAAAATAGAGCCTTTCTGAAGAAAGATATTGTTCCTACAAATAGCTTTATATAGGGACATATCCATGTACTCCTGAAAGCAGGTGATTATCATAGTTGACATGAGAGGGTTGGAAGCAAAGAAGCATAGGTTTTGCATGAGATTCCTGAAGTTTCCTCTGCTTCAAATAAGGAATTGATCCCTAATCTTGTGATTTGCAAAGGAAGTGAACATTCAGCCAAAAATAAAGACAGTGTTCCATTTAACATGTACACTTGTAAGATCATAAACCCAAAAAAACTTGGCCAACAAATTTGGCATATAAGGCAATTGATCTGGTGCATTTAGGGTAACACAGAGTACTACCATCCATTGTTCAAACACTACATTTACAACTGGATTCAGGGAATTGCTCAAGACATGGTTTCAATTGAACCAATAATCTCTACAGGCAGTGGCAAAATTCCCAAAGGAGTTGAGAGGGGACCAATGAGAGTGCAGATTAGCATTGCATACAGCAATTAAATAGTGAAATTAGCTACTGCTTAAACAAGTTTAGGAGGTTAGTGGGGGCCATGGCCCTCCTTGGCCTTAAAGAAGCTCTACCACTCTGTCTACAGGTAGAAACACGCCTTATCACTGCAAACACGATAGAAACATCAAGTTCATTTTGTTTTAAGATGATAGAAACTTGTTGTAACAGTGAACAGCATAGGCCACAGTTGCTGTATGAAATTTAAAGTCACAACATCAAGTATATTCAGAATCGAATAATTAACTAACTAATTGTACTACTTCTCCAACTTTTCCTGTTTTACCAAGGCTTATAAAGATTTCTCTATGTATGATATGATACCCATATAACAAACACAAATGACATTGCCTTTTATGACATTTTCACTATATTTGGGCAGTTCCTTCCCCGTGGTTAAAAAGAAAACAGTTATTCCACAGTCAAAACACAGAACAAATAAATTGAGCTTTGATGAGAGAATAAATAGTTTCAAGCAGGTTACAATCCACTTAAAAAAAAAACTATATAGCTAGTAACGGTTGCAGAATTTTATTTTGCAAATATACCTCCAGCTGATTTGTGATCAATTCT